AGCACCCCTCAAAGACAGGGGCACGAGGGTCACCACGAGAGGCTTCTACAGCGACTATACTCTTCTCAGCTGCAAGGAGGCGCTCCTCGAGGAGGTCAACGGTGAGCGTGGTGGGGCAAAGGGAGAGGAAGTGGTCCCTGACTGAGCGAAGGGAGTCAGGGAGCCGGGTGACGAGGTAGTAGAGAGTGATGTACATAGGGGGGGGGTTCGCGGCGCAGAACTCAGCAGGAAGCGCAGCGCGGTAGCGGGTGTCACTAGTGCGGAGGTGCGTAATGAGGTCAGCGACAGTGGCACAAGCGGCTAAGTCAGGGAACAGGTACGGCAGCATGAGGCGGCTAAGGGCAGCAGTGGCAGGGGAGGAGTAGCGCGCAACAACAGCGTCGTACAGAGTCCGAGCAGTCTTGTACTGGCTAAAGTGCGCACGCTCAGCAGACGGCAGGTGACTACGAACAGCAAGGCGAGTAGCAGCATCGCGCGTGGTCCATTGCGAGCGAACGGCACTGTCAGCATCGGCAGCAGGTGCAACAGCGACGCCAGACGTGTGATCGAACAGTGAAACTCCGTCCGTAGAGTCGCACCGCAGAAAGAGCTGGAGGTCATCGACCCAGACCTCGAAATCGACCGCTCGACCCTCAGCATCGAAGGTAAGAACACTAGGGCTAGCCATGGCGGCAGTAGCAGTGGCAGTAGCAGTAGCAGTAACTCGAGCAGCAGCAGCAGGTTAGCACTAGCTGTAGCAGCAGTAGTTGCAGTAGCAACAGTAGCACTAGTTGTAGCAGCAGTAGTTGCAGTTCGGGCTGGGCGGTGCTGTTATGAATGAGCGGCACGGCTCGTGCTCAGTGGTGGAGCAGCAGCAGTACGTAGCAGCAGCAGCCGGCGCGCAGCAGCAGGAGCGAGTAGCTGCAACAAGTAGCAGCAGCAACGAGGAGCAGTTGCAGCAAGTAGGAGCAGCTGCAGCAAGTAGCAGCAGCGGCAGCAAGTAGGAGCAGCTGCAGCAAGTAGCAGCAGCGGCAGCAAGTAGAAGCAGCTGCAGCAAGTAGCAGCAGCGGCAGCAAGTAGGAGCAGCTGCAGCAAGTAGCAGCAGCGGCAGCAAGTAGGAGCAGCTGCAGCAAGTAGCAGCAGCGGCAGCAAGTAGGAGCAGCTGCAGTAAGTAGGAGCTGCTGCAGCAAATAGCAGCAGCGATAGAGCAGCAGCACAGGCGCAGTGCAGCGTGCAGGCCTGGCGTGGGCTGTACTGGCCGCGCGTGGGCCTGACGTGGGCTGTACGGGCTGCGCGAACGCCTAGCGCGGACTGTACGGGCCGCGCGCGGTCCTAACGTAGGCTATACGGGCCGCGCGCGGGCCTGGCGCGGGCTGTACGGGCGGCGCGAAGGCCTATCGCGGACTATATGGGCCGCGCGCGGGCCTGACGTGGGCTACGCGCGACAGGACAGGGCAGGGCCGCGGGGCAGCGAAAATCGACGCACCTAAGGGCGCATTTCGGGCAGAAAAATAAGAGAACGCGATTCGGGCAGGAGCACGGAAGGTTTTAACGGTGGGCCCTTTTGAAAAAAAAAATCGTCCTAGGCTTGGAAGGTCCTAGCTCTGATACCATGTTAAGAAAACTAGGAAGGTATGTCGATTAGGTAAGGGGAGGGGGTACAAGAAAATCGAGAGAATTGGGTTGTACCCTCTAAGGAATCACCCCTACACAACCTAGAGAGAAATAACTAGAAGTATATAATTTGACAGCCATGGTGGTACATTCGGCTTATGCTGTTTTAGAAGTGTGGCAGTGATATATATATATATATATCACTATGAAAAACTGACTGAAATGGGTAAAACTCCTTGCAATCCAGACTTATGTGAGTGTACTGTACATGGTGTGAAGACAACATACGGGGTTCATCTATACTGTTCAGATGAACAGTTAAGTACACCCTCCTTCTCGACCTTCTCACCATCGCGCGTACTGTGTACGGTGCTTGGGGCTAGCGCGATGGTGCCGTTAATCGTTTCACGAGTAATTGTGCAGGTGCCGACAAACCAGGGTGAGGTGGCAAAATTAAAAAGTAATTGAGCATGAGCAAATTGCACCTGTCCTGTCAGCCTCAGGTGAAACGAACCATCGAAAGTCAACAGCACAAGGTATGCCCCATATGGCATTGTGAAGTTGTAGGTTTCCTTTCATTCGTTTGGGTGATCAACACAACGAATCATCTTTCAGGGTTGTGAATTTGTCAGTTAGTGTTGTTAGATTGTCTCTGATTTTGGTCCACACTGCACTCACTGCTTGGGTACTGCGTGCATAGTGGTCGAAGGTGTCAGCAGTGAAGTCAACAAGATGAGACAGCTATGATTGAGGTGAGAAAATGTGCTTGTAAGCATTGTGATAAGACCACCTTTGGTGCGTTGCTGTCAGTCAAAGCGTAGTGTTTAGGATAACCGAGGTCAGTCTAGCGAGAATGAGGGTGTAGCTTGAAACACGCTGCTGTTGTCTCCGGTCCTTTTCTACAACCGAAAGTCCCAACCAACGTTGTCCATGCCCCGTTTTGCTGCAGCTTGTTCGTCGCTAAGCCAAGGTTTCACAAAGCAGTTGCGGCATTCTCTTGTCGTTACTCGTGACACGATTCTGAGGCAGAGGAGAAGTGGGGGACCCACATTATCTCGAAGGTGGTGAAAAAGCATAGTTCTATTCCTTGGCATTCGGGCTTACTCATCTTCAAGGTCCAGTCTCACCCACGTACAATATGCTCGTTAGCGGCTAGCCTTGAGAATTGTTCTTCCTTCCAGCAGGGAGCAGATAAGTAGCAGCACGAGTGAAAACAGCTGAGAATATGAACGCGGTTGGTTCTGGTTTCGGAGGGAAGCCGGGGGTTGTGATTGTGTGGGCGATTTCCTGGTGAGAAAATAACATCCTCTTTGTTTCTGGTGTCGATCGAAGAGCTCGTTACATCGGGGTTGTTATGAAACAAACCCTAAAAAAACTCTGTTGAGCCCAACACCTTGTGATTACAGCGGAAACATTGGTGATGCAAACGAACCTCATGTTGTGTACAGTAGTACGGGCCAGATCTGAAGGAAGAACTGTATTAACCTATCGTCAAGAAGAAAGAAAAAATCGTTTTCCAGAACATAAGGGCATGTTATACGAGTTCATTATTATTCGAGACTCCACCCAAACGCAAAGAAATGTAAACGAGCCGCTCTGACATGCGCAACATCTCACTTCACCGCAATAAAGTGAGCTCTTATGACACGCCCTAATAAACTTGTTGAATCGTACTAAAGTGGAATCTAGAAGGGAGGTGTCTGCTTCATTCATCTACTTGAAGTGGCCTGTGTTTACAGGTTCCCGCCACTCCATCACTTCAACACATCATGGGACCATCGCAACTGCACTGGGTAAACCTCTTGGTTTGTTGTCATTGAGCGGAATTCATGCGAGCATCATTCAGCTCTTTCATGCCAACGACACTCGCCACTTCGGTGTTTCTTCCACAATGAATGGCAATTCGATTCAAATCGCATCGCATCCAACGAAGCCCGCGTAATAATCCTATGATTCGCCGCGTAAGCTGCTGTCCTCAATCGCTCATAGCAGCTGGTAAGCCGCCTAGCCCCTAGTCCTATTCCGCGCCGCTCTAGTTGGGACCGTGTCCGGATCAGGGCCTAAGTTATCAGGGCAATTACCCTGTTTTGACTGAAATTATAAGGTTTTTTTCACAGCAACCCTGATTTTCACAAGGTAATTTTCGGACCAGCCCGTAAAACTGAAGGGTGATTTTTGAGCCCACTCGGATACTCAGGAATGTTTTCAAGGGGACCCGGATAGTTTTAGAACACTTATCGTCCCCGACCTGCCTCGCATCCCCTCCCTCTCCCCGTGTACAACGCATAGGCCACTTTCAGTGAATTTTCCTTAGCATTCGCTCCTGGTTTGGCCTCCTGGTGTTTGACTTCCGGTACTACGTTGAGGTGGCTATTAGCACTCCTCCACGTATAAAAATTTCTAAGTATACAGAAAGTCTCTCTCCCCCCTCTAGCGTCGCTATTTAATGGCCAACCTTCCCAGCCTTCGTAAAACTCACAGTGAGTCTCTCACCCACTGTGAGTTTTACGATCATAGCCCCATCCCGCGAGATTCTGGTAAGGTAGGCTTTCAGGCCTTTTCTGGCTCGAACCCGGATTTGTGAAGGCTTTTTTCCCACTGGCTCGTAATTTACAGGGTCTTTTTCACAGGGGCCCGGATCGTCCGAGCTAGCAAAAATCCTAGCAATAGCCCTGGTCCGGATATCACGGGCCGCGAAATATAGAACCCTGCTCCGCGGAACGACAACGTACAGTAACTTACTTCACTGTACAGAACTTCACCCTCCATTCGTTATCTTTCTTTTCTTTGATCTCCACCCTCCGTCGTTCTGTTGCAAGCGCTCAATGAACGACCCTCAGCGACATTACCACTAATGATGCAGAGTGGTGCCACCATTACTTCTACTTCAATCATCAATGTCTTTGACGACTAATGCACACCGCGTTAATCGAAGCTCCATCCCCGGCCAACCAGCGCAACTTAACGACTCTATGAGCCCTCTCCTTAGCAGTACTAGCGCCAGTAGCGCCATTGACGGTCGCGTGTCCTGTCGTTCTAACCTTTTTTCGACCGCCACGGCCACTGAGAGCAATAGCGTCACGGAAGCAGTCAATAGTGGCTCTGTCGGGTACGACGGCGACGACAGCAGCGGCATTAGCCCGATCAGCGTGCTGAGCGGCTTTCCTTCGACGAGAAGCCGGCGCGATCATCCCATCGCGACCCGTTTCGGACAGTTGGACGCGACCGTAACGAGTAGCATGATTAACAGTGACCCACTCTCCAACACCGAGGCAGGGGGCATTTCAGACGTGCCGCAGTGCCCCCCAAAAGTACAAAACCGTGTTAGCAGTCGCAACAAACCGGTCCGCGACGAGCGTGCACTGGACGACCCCGCGACGGCAATGGCGACGGAAACGGCGACGGCGATGGCGACACTCGTGTCGCAACAGCAGTCGCAGCAGCGAGCGTCCGACAACGTGTGGACTCGGAGGCGACAGGTGCAGGGTCGCGAGCGTCCGACCCTGGCGTTGCGCAAGAGCAGCAGCAACGCCGACGCCGTCACTGCCGCGATCACTCGCGAAACGCCATCTCTCGCCACTGCTCTCTCTCTCGACAAGCCGGATTCCTTGAGACGCCTCCCCCGATCGGCAGGGGGGCGGCCTCGGGGGACCGCTAGTAAAGCCTCGCAACTCGCGCGAGACGCTGTTGCCGGGGAGGCGGCGGCGCGGCGACAGGAGCGGAAGCGGGGCGAAGCAGAGCCGGCGAGCCAGCTTGATGGAAAGGACATCGACGACACGCCGACGAGCTTTGAGCTGCTGCGGTTGCCCGGAGTTCGCGGGACGAAGACGACAGATGGCAGTCGCTGCGCCCGCAATGATGCTAGTGCTAGCAACGACACGAACGCCGCGGCCGCAGGTTTCGGAAGCGGGAACGAGGAGGAAAGCTTGTGGGAGGAGGGGAAAAGGGTGGGTCGTAGCAGCCTGGGATCTCACGGCACCGTCGCGGCGTCTGAAAACGAAAGCATTTTCCCACGAGACGGATCTTATGCGCGCGACGAGGAGTACAGTAACGGCGAACACGGCGACGCGCATCCTGTCAAAACCAACAGTGGTAACCCGTCGGCCCGAGAGGTAGACGACTTCCCCGGCTTCTCCATGACCCCACCCGCCGCAGCGGCCGCCGCCGCGCACGTCGAATCTGAATCGGAGTCGGATCGCGAAGCTCCTGGCGGCGCGACGGAGGTGGTAGCCGAAAAATGCGGGTGGAGCAGAGTGGCCGGAAGAAGCTCCTCCGTGTCTGCCAGCGCCGATCCCGCTGGATCCGCGACGTCGCAGAAGAGAGTGCTCCTGCAAAGAGGGTCGCAATCGCAAAGGGTATGTTCCGAAACTGACGTCGTTACGCACCCGTCGCCCTTACCATCGTCGCTATCCAACGCAGCCGAGTCGCTTACACTCAACTTGTCGTCGCCAGCGTCGCCGACTATCGACGAAACGTTGTCGGCCGGGTTAAAATCTGCTGGGGTTTCTGACGGTCCGACCCTAGATAGGAATCTGAATAAAGCCGGCGTCGCTGGTGAGCTAATGGCGCAACCTCCGCCTCTTTCAGCACACGCAATGTCTTCAGGATTTTCTCCTGAAGACGAGGCGAGAACAACTGCGAGCGGTTTAACCGCCGTTGGATTAGCCTCACACGCAAAGATTGATGTCAACCACGAAGCCAGCGATGTCGCGGAACGGGATAGTCACGAAACCCTCGCGAACGGTACGAGGGGTTACGCCAGTCAACCGTCGACCGTCAAGAACCAGTCGTTTCCAAAATCAAAATCTCAGTCAGGATCGAAGATTCAGTCAGAGTCGAAAGTTCAGTCGAAGTCACTTCTGTCTCCGTCAAACAGGGGAAGCAGCTCGTTTTCCAAACTAGAATCGCGCTCCGGACCGTTTTCTCCTTCAGCCCTCCCTCCGCCTCCGTTGATTGCGGCGGCTGTCGCGTCGAGGGATGGCGGCGAGTGGCTACCATCTTCGACTTCTGGCAGTCACTGTGACGATGACGACTTATACGGAAACGGTGACGGTGACGGTGACGGAAACACCGAAAGTGGTGGGTTTTTCAGTTTGCGTGACGCGGCTTCTAATTGGAAGGCAAGGCGTGGAGAAGGGTTTCCGAGAGAAAAAAATTCGCCAAGAAGTAGCAAGAGCAGCAGCGACAGTAACAGCAGCGCGAGTGAGCGAAGGCGTGCGAGTGCGTCTGCGAAGGGAAAGGGCATCGCTATAGACGAAATTGACGAATCCTTAGCAGGCAGCTGGGCTGGGGAGTGCAGCGACGTCGCCGGCTGCAGTTACAGCAACTTCAGTAACTGCGAAGGTTTGCCGAGTCAGGACTGTCAAAGCAACATCCACAGCATCCCTCCCAGCCGCGTCGCCCACCATCCCCCTCCTGAGCTGGATTTGACGTGCCTCGAATCCATTATCTCAACGCTGGGCGTGCAGCAAGAGGAGCAGGCAATAAAAGGCAAGAGCAAAGAGTGGATGCCACGTGGCAGTGGGAACGTTGGAGGGACGAAGCATGGAAGATCTGCTTCTTCATCCTGCCCAACTACCCCGTTTCCGCAAGTGCCACCTTCCCCAGCCACACCTCCCTATAATCACACCCACCACAATCACCATCACCATCATCCCCCCCATCGCTCTCCCAGATCCCGCCTTCCTCCTCATCCATCCCTTTCCTGTGAAAATTCGCCGCACCTTCCACCAAACCTGGACTTTGATCCCGAGGCTGCTTTTGTTACGCCTGGAAGCTCGGGCTCAGGCTCCGAACCTCACGGTCTGCCTGGCGAATGGGGAGGAGTTGAGGGGGTGTGGGAGGAGAGGGTGGGGAGGGGTTGGCAGAGAGGGAGAGGGAGAGGAGGGGAGCAAGAGGGGCGAGAGAGGGAGATATGGGGATCACGCGACATGGGGTTTGAAAGGGCGAGGGTAGCGGCTGCTGTAGCTGCAACAGATGGAGCTGATTTTGCTGCTGTTGGTGATGGGGATGTTCCTGTTGCTCCTGCTGCTGCTGCTGCTGCTCCTGCTGCTGCTGCCAGTGGCATCGTCATTGCACCACCTGTTACTTCTTCCGATGTGGGGGTTGACGTGTCTCTTGCTGACCTGGAGGCAGCTCTTGCCACTCTGTCACGATCTGCACAGGGGAGGGGGGTTGGGGGAGCAGGTCAACACAGGCGACACCATCGGGCGTCGTCCTTCTCACACACATCTCTCTCCCACTCCTCCCGCACCCCTCCTTCTCGCTCCCCTCTCCCCCCATCCCCCTCTGCCCGCTCTGCATTTGCGCATTCCCCCTCCAACCGATCCCCATCTCCTTCTGCCCGCCGCTCTCCCTCCCCCTCCGCCCGCTCCCCCTCTCCTGCGCCCATCATGCGGTCCTCCGCCGCCTCTCGCGGCAGCATGCATGCGCGGTCACGCAGTTACCACATGGGCCCCACCTTCGCCGTGCCCACTGCTGCTGGCGCTGCTGCTAATGCTGTTGGTGGTACTGCTGCTGGGGCAGGGATGAGGGTAGGAGCAGGTGGTGGGAGTGACGGTGCCAATGTGGGGTTTGTGGAGGGAGGCAGCACGAGGAGGGGGGGCCACCACCGCAGCAGAAGCATCAGCACCACCGGTGGTGTCTTCAGCGCAGGAGCGGTGGCAGAAGCAGGAGAAGCGAGAGCAGGAGGAGTGGGAGGAGGAGGGGGGGGCAGTCTGCTGCTACAGGCAGCAAAGGCAGCAGTCCAGGCGGCAGCAGCAGGCGGTTCTTGCAGCGCCCACTCAGCTTCAACGCTGTTCAAGGCCTCCTCCTCTCCCACTCTGGCCCTCGTACCCCCCCTCCCCACCTGCACCTCCCCCCTCTTCCCCTCTCCTCTGACCGCCTCTCCCCCTCCCCGTCCTCCTCTCACGCTCTCCGCAGCCCCCACCCAAGCCAGCAAATCAGCCCTGGCTACAGCCCGAACCTGAACGCCAGCTTCGGCCACGCGCCGAGCCTCAACGTGAGGAGCCGGTCTCCGAGTCCCCAGGTGCTTTCCCGCGTGGCAAGCACTGGCAGTCTGGGAGACGAGGGGGACGCGGATGGGGAAGCAGAGACCGAGAGGGGCAGGGGGAGAGTGAGAGGGGGAGGGAGGGCGCTGGGAAGGGAGGGGAGCAGAGGGGAGGGGCGGCGGTCGAGGGGACACAGCAGGAGCAGGAGCCGCACTGGCAGCAGGCGGATGGGCATGGGGCTGTCGTGGTCCATGGGGCCCGCTAGGGAGGCAGGGGAGTTTGACGAGGATCTGAGGGACTGGGAGGGCGAGCTGCTCTTCCGCCCTCAACACCACCCCCACCTTTTCCCGCCCGACCGCTTGCTTCAAAGCGTTGGTGCTAATGGTGGTGCTGCTGCTGGTGCTGCTGGTGGTGGTGCTGCTGGTGGTGGTGGTGGTGGTGATGGTGGAATGGAAGGAGAGGCAGGTGAGCGTACACTGGCTGCTGCTGGCCGCCACGCTGCTGATCTGGATGGCCACGCTGGTAACGCACGCGACAGGAGGGTGGGGGCGGGTGCGCCGGGGCACAGGCGGTTTGTGTCGGACCTGTTCTTCGATGCCCCCATGGATTACTTCCAGCCGTTTCTGCCCTCCCCTGCTAACTCGTCTGGTGCTTCCAGCCCGGCTGTGGATCTGCTTGCACCGCACAGCACCCATTTTGACCTGATGGCGCCACAGTTTAATCGGCACGCACCTCACACAACCCAGTTCGACCTGCTCTCACCGCACTCGGGGCAGCAAGAGACGTCCGCCCCGCACACGCCGCGAGCTCTGCACTTTGACCTCGCCCTCCCTCACCCACCCGCTGCACCACCCCTTGACCCGCATCTCCCCCTCTCGGGACCCTTTGAACTCCTCTCCTCCGACCGACCATCCTCCGATCTCGCACCACACAACGCTTTCACAGCCCTTGGGAACAGCAGCAGCAGCAACAGCATCAGCCTGGTGCATCCCTCCGCGTCACCCCAACTCCCATCAGCAGCCCCGCTCCCGCCGCGCAGCAGCAGCAGGCGCAAGCTGCTGGGCGAGCGGAGGGGCTCGAGCTTCAAGGAGCGCCGCTCCTCGCGAGACCTTTCCTTTGGGGACGACCCCGCCTGGCTCAACCCCTCTCTCGCCCCTTCCTCCTCCCCTTCCGCCTCCCCTCCCCCTCCCCTTCCCCTCTCCATCGCTCCGTCTCGTGACACCGGGGCGGCCCTTGCTGCTGCCTCCTCCTCGTCCTCCCGCCACCGTGTGGCCGGCAGTGGCAGTGGCGCCAGCAGGGAGAGAGCCTTCAATCGCAGCAGCTCTTATGGAGGACATGGGCGCATGTTCTCAGGTGGGGAAGGGCTTTCTGGATCAAGGGATCTCTATCCGGCTGGGGACAAAGGTGGCATGAGGGACTTCTTGGGTGGCAGAGACAGCTTCTTAAGTGCACGGGAGCGGGCGGCAGATGCCACAGGCTCCACTCTGCAAGCCAGAGGCACGAGCAGCGGGGAGCACGCCTTGTTTTCCGCACGGCGAGCCGACCGGGACCTGTTTTTCTCGGAGGAAGGCGGCCGATTCGCGTCCCCTGCTGGTGTGTTGAGCTCGCGCGACCTGCTGTCAACCAGTCTGCACGGGTCGTTTGTTGGCTCAGACGAGCATGTGGAATACAGGCAGGGCGCGTTCGGGAGCTTGGAGCGGGTGGAGGGTGGGGGTGGAGGGGCGGGTGAGAGGCGAGAGCTGGTGGCGTTTGGGAGCACGGAGAAAGAGACAGAGAGCAGCGGCGAGAGGGATGAAAGGCGCGAGAGGGATGAAAGGCGAGAGAGGGATGAAAGGCGCGAGGAGGCGATTGGCGCTGCTTCTGCGGTTTCTGCAGCTGCAGCGGCTGCTGCTGCGTCGATTTTCGGCAGTGCTGCTGGTGCTGGTGGGACCACGGGAACGAGTGGCGGTGGGTTGAGCAGGGGTGGGCGAGAGCGGTTTGGGTTTCTGTCATCTGACTTTGACTTTGACCTCCGCACGGGACCCCTGTACCCAGACGACCCTTCTCATCCCACTCACTCCGTCCAGGCCTTTCTGAAGCCAGATGCTGCGGGTGTGCAAAACGGTATGGTTGGGCAGAGTGTGCCGCAAGAGGTGGTTGGGAGCAGCAGCAGCAGCAGCGGCAGCAGGCGAGCAAGGCTGGTGCGCGGCAGTGGCAGTGCCAAGGAGCGCGGCGAGAAGGAGCACAGAGCAAGGGAGCAGGGCGAGGTGCAGTTCGCAGCAAGGGGTTTTGGTGAGAGGGGCGGTGAGAGCAGTGGCAATGGGAGGTGGTGGGGTGAGATCCACTCAGGTGTGCGCAGCCTAGAGCACATGCAGCAAGACGCCTGTGATGCTGCCATGGCTGCTGCTGCTGCTGCCGCTGCAGACGCTGCAAGCATGGTGGATAGCAGCTCGGCAGAGCTTCCCGGCGACGCTGCTGCTGCTGTTGCTGCCTTTGCCGCTGCTGCTGCTGCTTGTGCACCCAGTGCGTGTGAGAGGACAAGAGAGGACATGCGGACGCCTGGTGCTCAAGTCAAGGCAGAGGGCGCAAGCAGGGAGGGCAGGGAAGCAGGAGATCATCATCAGCAGCAGCAACTGCAACAGCAGCAGCAGCAGAGGGAAGACCAGCAGCCGCAACAGTCGCAACAGCCGCAGCAGCTGCAGCAGCAGGAGGGGCAGCAGGAAAGGCCGGGGCAAGCACAACAGCAGAAGGCACAGCACCCGGGGGCAGCACTGTTCATGGGGGTTGGGGGGTCGGTGCTGGGGAGGGGCCTGCGGGAGCTGAAGGAGGTGTACGTGGTGGGGCGAGCACCGGTGGGGCGCGGGCAGTATGGCACGGTGCGCAAGTGCGTGCATCGACGCACTGGCAAGGCGTATGCTTGCAAGAGCATCAACAAGCGGAGCCTGCTGGTGAGTTGAAAGAACCTTCACAGGTTAACACAAACGGATCACAAAATCAGCTGCCTCTCTTTTCTTTTTGAATAAACGAAAAATCAATCAGGGCCAAAGGGCGAGGCTAACAACCTTAATGACTTACGGCTACCACCTTTCTCCATTCCCCCATGCGTTCCCCAACATGCCTGGCTGGCTCTGTCTTGCCTCACATGTTTTGCCTCGGATGTCTTGTCTCTCAAGTGTTGGCTGCAAATCTGATGCAGCAATAACTGCGCTCTAGACCGCCTGTTTCTCGACCTGCCAGCCCTTGCTCCTGCCCGCCTACCACCACTCCCACTCTCACCCTCATTCCCCTGCCCTCCCCTTTGCATCCCCTCGCCCCCGTTGCCGGGCCACAGAGTGCAGCAGAGAAGGAGGCGGTGCGGCGGGAGGTGGGGTTCCTGGAGCGGCTCAAGGGGCACGCCAACATCATTCGCATGAAGGAGACCATTGAGAGCACGCGGGTGAGCTCCCCTTGCGCCCCTCCTGTTACTCGCCCAAGCGAGCTGTGAAAACCCGGAATGAAAATCCGAGAAGAAAAGTCCGGAAAGAGAAAAGAGAATAGAAATGAAGAACATCGCAAGTCCCTCCAGGCCTGGGCAGCTGGCCCTCCACCTGTAAGATGTCTCCTGTGCAGTACATGACACAAGCTGTTTCTCTCCCTGCTACCATTCTATGTGCATGTCATCATCATTAGAGCATCCTTGCCTGCTTCTAATCCCCCCTGTACCTGATTTATCACGCATCCCTCTCTCCTTGTCCATGACACCCCTCTCCCCCCCTTCGCCCCCTTCTATCCCTCGCCTCAACCCTTTGCTTTATTCCCTCGCCTCAACCCTTTGCTGTATTCCCTCGCCTCAACCCTTTGCTTTATTCCCTTGCCTCAACCCTTTGCTTTATTCCCTCGCTTCACTCCCTCACCCCCCCCCCCCCCCCCCCCCTTTCACGCCTTGGCCCAACCCCTTATGACGCGCTGTGCACGGAATGTTTGTACTCCCTCCCAATCTCCCCCCTTCTCCCAATCTCCCCCCTTCTCCCAATCTCCCCCTTCTCCCACGTTCCACCACCCCCCTCCTTGCAGCACGTGCACATCATCATGGAGCACTGCGAGGGGGTTGTACACAGCACAGCATTAACCCTCCCCTCCCCCCACCCCCCCCCAACCCCCCTCCCCCCCCCCCCCCCCCCCCCCCCCCTCCCCCTCCCCCTCCCCTTTCTCACCCCCTTGTTGCAGCACGTGCACATCATCATGGAGCACTGCGAGGGCGGCGACCTGCTCGACCGCATCCAGCTGCACCGCAACTTCCCGGAACCCTCTGCTGCGCGCATCTTCCGGTCGCTCATGCGCGCGCTGCAGCACTGCCACGCGCACGGCATCGTGCACCGCGACGTTAAGCCCGAGAACGTGCTCATCGCCCACACCTCCTCCCACCGCGACGCCCTCTCCTCCTCCCGCCCCGGCGCCGGCCACATCGCCAAGAGCAGCAGCGTGGGCACGAGCGCGAGCATGGGCGCCAGCGCCTGCAATTTCAGCAGCGACGCCGTGAAGCTGATAGACTTCGGTGTGGCGACGCTGTACAGCCCCGACAAGCCGTGCCAAGACATCATCGGCACGTCTGAGTACATGGCTCCCGAGGTCTTCGACCAATCGTACGGCCCGGAATCCGACGTCTGGAGTGCGGGGATCGTCTTATTCATGCTGGTGATTGGCCGAGCGCCGTACAGCGACCCACCCTCCACCGGAGGCTCGGTGGCGCCGGAGGAGAGGCCCGGGTGGCCGAGTGTGCTGGTGGCGAAGGAGGCGGGGTTCTACGGCGTGCGCGAGTGGGAGAAGCTGTCTGCAGCGTGCAAGCACCGATTCATCTGCTGGATGCTCCTCAAAGACCCCAACGCCCGCCCCACGCCACAGCAAGTGCTCGGTACGTGTGTGTGCTGTCATCCAGGTATCCAGTTAGCCGCCCATGTGTGCCGTCAGCCGTCCATGTGTGCTGTCAGCCGTCCATGTGTGCCTTCAGCCGTCCATGTGTGCTGTCAGCCGTCCATGTGTCTTGTCAGCCGTCCATGTGTGCTGTCAGCCGTCCATGTGTCTTGTCAGCCGTCCATGTGTGCTGTCAGCCGTCCATGTGTCTTGTCAGCCGTCCATGTGTGCTGTCAGCCGTCCATGTGTGCTGTCAGCCGTCCATGTGTCTTGTCAGCCGTCCATGTGTGCTGTCAGCCGTCCATGTGTCTTGTCAGCCGTCCATGTGTCTTGTCAGCCGTCCATGTGTCTTGTCAGTCGTCCAGGTTTCCTGTCGGCCATCGTCAGACGCCCAGGTGTGCTGTCACCTCCGTTGATGCGCTGTGTCTTTCACAAGCTCCGGGCATGGTTGCCGTTGTGATGAGTCGATTTTTGAGTCGACTAAAAATCAAACTCCGGGCATGGTTGGCGTTGCACCTTGTGTTTGCTGTATGCGTGATGGGAGCTCTTTTCAGCCCCTGTGCTGCTGCAACCCCTGACAGCCAAGCCTCACTGTGGCCTAAATTCCTCCTCATCCGGCTCCCCTTCCCCATCCCATGCTTGCTGTTTCCCATATCATCAACATACCTGTTCCATCCCCATCCCATCCCCATTCCTTCCCCCATCCCATCCCCATCCCGTCCACCAGATCACGAGTGGCTATCAATAATCAACTAGCAACTAGCACCTGCTATTATGCTATGCACACAGCAGGTATGACATGGTCGCACAGTGAAAGCGCAAGCATATGACGCAAGATTAGTAACAAGGCACAGAAGTGTCTAGGTGCAAAGCATGCGTAGAATAGTATCATGGACCACACATACTGGTAACATCAAGGTTTGGAAATAAAGCATGTTAAATAGAGACCCCATAGTTGTAACAAGCGAATTCTACCTGCAGACAGGATTAGCTCCAGCTTTCTGCAGGACTCTTTGATTCGTTTGCCTGCTTTACAAAGTTCTGCTGGAAGCAAGAACTTTTACGATTTGCTCAGGCATACATAAGCCAGAGATTGGTACTCAACTCAAGTCAATAAATCGCTCCCAATGATGCTATTCGTATTGGTATTTGAATATAGGTCACAACAATGTACCTTCAGCAGCTCACTGATATGGTATGAATGACCTTTGCATGAACTTGGAGAGCCAAGCGAGCCATGGCAGCTCCACTCTCCCACCAGCTCCGCCACGGCATACCTCACCTCCTCCAGCACCTCACTGATCCCAAGCAACGGGAGACACACCATCACTCCCCTTCCCACACCAGCACCTCTAAGCAGCATCCTCCGCGTCAGCTTCCCCCTCCAGCTCCGCCACCTCATACCGCACCTCCTCCAGCGCCTCATTGATGTCCCCCACTATGCGCGCCAGGGCCTGCCTCACCTGCGCCACCGCTGCGTCATACTCCGCATCCAGGCGCGCCACCGCGCACTGCTCCTCCCACTCGCCCTCCCCGTCCTCTTCCCCATGCCCCACCGCTCCACTGCCCGTGCCACCACCAGCAGCGTTGCTGGTGCTGCTGCTACTGCTGTGGCCGCACCCGCACCCGCCTGCCCTACGTGTAGCAGTGAAGGCGGCAGCAGCGGCTTCAGGCGGGATCCCCTGGAGGGGCGCGGGCATGCCTGGCAACCCCTGGCCCGGGGCTGCATGCTCTGGCGGAGAGGCCTCTGGGATGGGCCTGCCCACTAGAGCAGGTGACTGGGCTTGAGTGAGGATTTGAATGGGGGCTTGAGCAGAGGCTGGGATGCTGGGGTGAAGAGGTGCATGAGGAGAGGGCAGTGAGGCATGCGCCAACTCACAGGTAATGTGGCCATCAGCACCACACGACGCTGCAATACCGACACCCTTGTCTGTTTCTGCACCACCGTGGGACCTGAGAGTCCCGCTCTGTGTGTCTCTGCGTGCACCTCTCCGTGGGCTTTCTACTGCTGCCTGCTGCCCGCCGCCCATGCCTGCCTGCTCCTCACTGCCCTGCTGCTGCTCACCATCGTCCATCCGGACTTCACCATCAGCACCACTATTGGCATCACGATTTGTATCACTATCATGCTCACAAGCCCCTGCGCGTCGCCCCTCGCTCTGCTGCCGCCCCTGCTGCTCTTCCACTGGCTGCGGCTGCTGCAGAGGATGCGGGTGGTCTGCGTGCCGCTGAGGCAGAAAGGAGGCGATTTCAGACCGCGGGCGGTCGGACGGGCGGAGGGACTTGCGCAGCACGTGATGCACGGCCGTCTGGGGGGTGGGATAGCGTGATGGGATGGGAGGCAGAGATTGGGTGGTTGGTGGTGGAAGCAAGCGGCAGACGCGGTGAATGGTGAGATGCTGCTCCCACGTGCACAGGAACTTGGGTGGGTTGTGATGGCCGGCTGTCGGGTGAGAAAATGCCGCACTCTCATTTGCGTGTGGGACACAAGGGATGAAAACATGCAATGGCATCCTTTCCCATCCCATCCCATCCCATCCCATCCCATCCCATCCCATCCCATCCCATCCCATCCCATCCCATCCCATCCCATCCCATCCCATCCCATCCCATCCCATCCCATCCCATCCCATCCCATCCCATCCCATCCCATCCCATCCCAGCCCATCCCATCCCATCCCGTCCCATCCCATCCCATCCCATCCCATCCCATCCCATCCCATCCCATCCATACATCCTCCACCGAATCTCACTCACCAGGTGCAGCTTCTCCCGCTCCTGCTCCTGCACGCGCCGCACAACGTCCGCCAGGACCGCGCGCCCCACGCCCTCCGCCCGCAGCTGCGCCTCCACCTCGCGCACCTGGGGAGGTAAGGGGGGCGGAACAACACAGGTGCGGAAAACAGCAGCAAATGGATCGCCAGAAAGCATGGTAACACAGCGCATCCTCGCCAAAAGATATGGCTGCAAACCCTTCTGCGGGGTTGTGATTGGACAAAGCTCTAAGAAGCTTCATCGCGAAAAAGGACTTGCCAGTAGGCTGCAGGAAAGTTGCAGAAAAGTAACTCGGCGGATACTTTGGTTTTGCAACTTCGCAGTGATGGACAACAGTTGCAGAAATGCGAGTCACTGGACAGTTGACAAAAAGTTGCAGGAAAGTTGCAAGAAAGGTGCATTCCAGCAACAGTTCCGCAATTTCGCGTACACTCGTCGGATACATTTCAATCACATGTATGCAGTTTCACGACCTGCCACGTGGCATGCGTACAGTTTGGAGTTCGAAGTGTACGTACGTCGGTACGTTCGCGAAGATATTTTGCCACGTAAGCAAAGATATTTCTGCCAGGTGTCATTCTCAATATGTGAACGCCAGCTTGCCACGTGGACCAATCAGACAAGACTTCGCGTGTGCGAAAATTGAATACTACTGGCCGAGAATTTGTCTGAACAGTACAAGCGGACCATTCGTTTCAAGGATTATTTGTTACAGGTGGGGTTGGAGGTAATCTACAATATTATGGACGTCTGCATACATATGATGTATACACATTTAGTCAACACGAAACACCTAAAACCAACAATCACTAAGCGTCTGGTTCTACATGTAGTCACACAGGGCGAAATCATGCTTCGTTTTAAAGCCTGCAAACACAAAGACGACATAATGTTAGACCTTGGTTAGTCATATGCTTGTTCCCCACCTTAGTGACTTATCACCCAGGGCCTTGACGTAGATAGATAATATTGCCGTCAATGTGCTTCACAGGGCCTGGATCTTGATACCCCCCTGCATATGAAAATTAACATCTCGTGACTTCCATTAACCCTGCACATGAATATTAAACCTGAAACACGATGACTAAGAACAACAAACATGAAAACGTTATCGTTAAAGCCTACATTCCAGACAACATGGGTTAAAAACGCGCATGGTTCTTATCAGAGGCAGAGAGAGACCTTCGCGCGACTACCACACCTTCTCTCTCATGCAGAGAGCGTAGAGACGATTTGTGTAGTGGGAGGCTGCACAGGAAAACAACAACGAACCTGTTAAAGGTGGCACAGGCGTGCAATTTGAAATGGGAGGAAATAGATCTGCATTCATTATGGGAAGAAATGAACCAAATCGAGAAGAGAAGAAGCCTAAAACGTGAGAAGAAATGAAAGAGTGAGGATAAGAACAGGAGTGATGGGCGTCACATGATTCAGTATGCTTACAAATTTCAGTATGCAGCTGAACGTGTTTAGTACACACACCGGCGCTTTCCGCGCCGAACAAGGCGCTTCCGCAGCCGGGCAACGAGCTTTTCGTCGCTGCGTCCGTAGGTTGACGGGTGCTGAGTCCGCGGCGATTCGCGCGCAGAACGTCTTCCGAGTGAGTTGAGCAAGGCGACGAGCTGTATATGGGACGGGAGGTAGAAAAAAAGGGTAAAGAAATGAAAGGATGAGACGGTAGATCTGGGCAGATGTTGAAGGATTGATACTTCATACACTAGTTTATTAGATACACAACGTAAGACGTACGTTCTACGGTATACGCTTGCTGAGGGGACGGCAGAGACACGAGGTGGGTCGAAATGGAACAATAACCTGAGCAAGATGTGTGAACATCAGCTGGGCAACTAGCGGTTTAGGGAGAGATACACTCGTAGTGTGATGCTTCTAGAGCTCCAATGTGTGATGATGTGTCGTCACGGATGCCGTAGATTTCTGGTTTAGGTTAGACCACACCAGTAATTGGTCATTAAAAAATCGTGAGGATAGCTCAATTCCGGTTACCTGTGGTTCGGAGAAGCCACGTCACTTGCACAGAATCTGAACACTTTGGGTGTGACATGGAACAGTGTGCCAGCTGCCAGTTACGATTCTGGCTTGTTTTTTCGCAAGCCTCGTTTTATTTTGTATCCCAGTTACTGTGCTCGCAACGTTCGACAATGCCCACCTGATTCGGGCTGCAGTGTTCCTCAATCGTACACCAGCACGGGGGACTCAAGAGATTTGGTCGTGACCAGGTGTGCTGTTCGGTGAAGATGATTCGAAAATGATGCAATAAATTCGCGGCTCGGGTAACCCACGTATCCACAATTCGCGCCTCGGGTACCCCACGTATCCAACATGCGCGGCTCGGAAGCCACATGTATCCGAAATTGGTGCATGTTCCATTTTTCACTCAGAGCTTTTCGGATACTTTCTGCAACGTTTCTGCAACTTCCCTGCAACCTTCAGACTTAAACTCGAATTTGAGCCAAAACCTTTTCCGCGATGTTGATCGGAGCTCCGCTGTTACTATCCGCTGCTACCTTGAGCGAGCAGCGCGAGAAGTCGGCCGTTACGCCCTGGCATGCGCGGTGGAAGGCGGAATCCGGCGAGGCTCCTGAGAGGTTGTCCGCGAACGCGCTGCGGGGAAGAAGGAAGGACGGCGAGTGACATACGCGAGGGAGGGCACATGATAAGCAGAAACTCTTGACTCTCGCAGAGTGGCCTTTGAGAAGTAATTTGACACCAAGTCGGGTGTCTGGATAGGAAACGCCGGTTAGGATCAAACCTCGGCGACCTGAGTAAGAATGAGGGCATCGGGAAGTGGTACGAGCGCAAGCCTCGCGATGCTAAAGACGGTGGAAACGCACCTTTCGAAAGCGTGGTAGATCCGCGCGCGATCGGCCTGGACGCTCAGGAAATCTCGAAGCAGATCCGCAACGGACATGACGAGACAGCTGAGCTGAGAGAATAAGTTCCGATGACGCTCGCTAGCGATAAGTGGATGGGAAGTCAGCAAGAATTAACTGCGAGTTTGATTCGGGCATCAACAGATGAAATGAGCTTTGGTGGAGGCCGAGGTACTGAACTGGAATGGAAGAAGAGATAAGGGCGCGTCACCTCTGAAGCAAGTACCCAAAATTCGAACGCTGTCATTTTTTTTCAGTCCCCAAACACCACCTTTTTATATGTTCGAACAACCCATGAGAATCTGGCGAAAGGTGACAGTGTCTGACGTGAAGTGACAGGTGTGTTCGAAAATGCGACGTCGCCCAACGTGGAAAAATTCCAAGGGTAATTACCTTGGGGATAACACACTTAGAGCTCGATCGCCTTCAAGGTAAGTCACGTGTCGAAATTGTAACAAAGATATCGTGTGATCGCCCTCATGGTAACCATTATGCCAAAGTGGTCACCATTTTTGCCTGAGTGGTAATGAACAGTGCATTCCGAACTCCAAACATGTAACTGCTCGTTCCAAGCATAGTGTACCCCGTACGTACTCTGTATGAAGCAAAACGGAAAACGATATTACATATGTTTTACATATGTTTCGCATTTTAGGTAGAAATGTCAAATGTATAATCTGGTTGTATGTTTGAAATGATTGCATTAAAAGGGTATTTATTTATTTGTGAGCACTATGCATGTCAGAATATTATGCTCTAGCCTGCAATGGGGTGCTCTATAGCGAGTACAACCCTTCTAGGGTTAGCTATTTGTACCACCATTGTTGCTAGTGCAAACCCTCTTTGCTTCATTCTCTCTTGCCTAGCTAGGTCAACCCTAGCTATGGCTCCTCAGTATACCTACTATCACGACATGCTATCAGAGCAGGACGATCCTGTTGGGTCGATCCTGTGGGTGGGCCCCACCACCTTAGTCTTCCACTGCTCCTACTACTGTGTGTGTCGCACGCCCCGTGGCGTGCGACGGATTTTTCATCCCGCCGCGCGCTCGGGGCGTGCGGCGGTTTTCTCCCCGCCGTGCGCCCCGAGGCGCGCGGCGGTTTCCTACCGTGGGGGACCCCGCGCGCCCCCGCCCCTTTCGTTGCGACGTCCTAAGGAGCCGCGCGCGACCCCCCGCGGCCCCGATTTCCCGTCGCGCCGCCCTGGGGATCCGCACTCGGCCCCCCGCTGCCCCGATTCGCCGTCGCGCCGCCCTGGGGAGCCGCACTCGGCCCCCCACTGCCCCGATTCGCCGTCGCGCCGCCCTGGGGAGCCGCGCGCGACCCCCCGCTGCCCCGTCGACGGCCGCGACGCCCTAGGGAGCCGCGCGCGGCCCCCGATTTCCCGTCGCGCCGCCCTGACGAGCCGCGCGCGGCCCCTCGCTGCCCCGTGGTGGCGTCCTGGGGGCCGCGCGCCGTCCCCCTCGCCGTCCCCCGCGCTCCTTCCCCCGTTCCGCCCGTTTTAGGGTTTGGGGGTGAGGAGTGTGGGGGTGGCGACTATGGGGGTGTCGGTTGTGAGTTCCTCCCCCTGCTCCTCCTCCTCCCTAGTCTCCCTCTGCTACAGCTGCCGCTGAGGGGGGTGGTGTGTGGGAGCCTAGGGTTTGGGGTTTAAGGGGGGTACCGTGGGAGTGGAGCTAGCTAGGGTTTGAAGCAGAGGGTGTGTGTCGAGGGGTGTGGGACTGGCAGGGGGAGGTTGAGCGGAGGTTGCCGTCGTGTTGTACGCAGCGCCTGTACTCCGGGGCACTCATTCCCGGTAGCTCAGAGAGCCGGTTGCGCCGTCGCCTGTGGGTCCGTTGCTCCTGCCGCGCATATTAGCCGCGGAGCCTGTTACTCCTGTACTCCGGGGCACTCATTCCCGGTAGCCACGTTGTCGCACCAGAGCCGTCTGTTGCCCGTGTGTCTGCAGCTTCAGTCGTCGCCTCCTATCTACACTCCTCTCGCCAGCCCTCCTCCTCCTCACTTGCCCCCCTGTGACTGCCTCTAGCTTTGCTCATAATTGTGAACCTTAAACTATTGCTTCTTGCTTGTGCTCAGAATGTGTGGTGACATCGTGATCCACCCTGAGCTTGTACTGCTTTGCTTGCTCTGCTGATTACACCCCACTTTGACTATGGGGGTGTGTCAGAATATTATGCTCTAGCCTGCAGTGGGGTGCTCTATAGCGAGTACAACCCTTCTAGGGTTAGCTATTTGTACCACCATTGTTGCTAGTGCAAACCCTCTTTGCTTCATTCTCTCTTGC